TGCCAATTTACTAGAAGAAAGTATTCTTGTGTTGAGGGAGTACTTGAGTGGAGGGCATGGGCTCTTAAGATGCCAGTCACTACTCACCCAAGTAGAATGTAGAAGTTTGTTTTTGTTAACTCTGTTGTACCAACAGATCTTGATGTTCTTGCATTGCTAGTTTGTGATCTCCTCTAGGCTGCTCTTAAACTGCTATTGCTAGTATTTATACTGAGGATCTCCAAATAGGGGCAGACAGGAGCTCACAACCTCAGCTCTTTATAGTACTAATTGAGCTTTGAGCAGCAGTACCTCATGGTGCTGATAAATTGGACCAGAGAACAAGAATAGAATTTATGTTTACACATTTTCCTTCCTAGTGAGGGAAGTATTTGTGTCCTCTTTTTATTATTCGTGATTTGTATGTTGTTTATCACAATATTATAAATGTGCTGTTCAGTGTTTTCAGATCTTCAAGGAAGGAGAAAGCCTGTCAAACTCTTTAACTGATGATGATTCGTGACCCAGAGAAGGCAGGGAGTGGAGAAAATCAACTAATGGATTTCCAAAGGGCTACATCTATTTTTCTTCTCTTTTTTTTCCCTCCTCAATATTGTTGTTTCACTGTTTGGTCATAATGTTTTTTTGTGGTGTAATAATAATAACGTAGTAATGTTCCACTTTAAATGTTTTTCTCTATCATTTTGGTGTTTATATAGCAATTATAACAACAGTCACAGATGGTTTTATCCAATACTGAGAGCTCAAAGAATTATATTCCTCTTGCACAAGAAATATTTATATCTAAGAAACCAAGCTAATAATTCAGAATCAGAGCATGCTTTTCCCAGAACAGATAAAGAAACTATTGGTTTTCTAAATTTCTTTATTTCTTTTTCTCCATTCCATCTCTGCCACATTTTTTGTATCATCATAACATCAAACATTCATTTAAATTTTATGTGTATTGCAATACCGCTTGGCCCAGCCCGGTGAGATTTTGAATTTGACCTGTGGTGTAGGGGTTGTTACCAATCTTTAATGCTCCCTTGCAGCCTGACCAACATATAATCACCACCAACAGCGACTATCTATAAACTTGGTAATTTTGACATAATGTGCAATACACACAAAATGTGTTTTATCTGGGATGACACCCTTTTTTTTGCAAATCCTACTCACATTGTGAAACTCCTTTCCTTGACTTTCTGTCCTGATTTAGCTGGTGGCCCAGCTGGAGCTGGAATTTGATCTACTAACCATCGTATCCACCAGTTATTGTCAAGTCAGGCCCAACTGATAGAGAGCCAAGGAGAGGATTGAGCTCCTACGGGTTGTCAAGTCCTCTTGGAAGCAGATTGTCAGGCCTTTATTTCAAGGCACCTCTGAGTGGGTTCAAGTTACCAAGATAATGGTTAGAAGTTGAGTGCTTGGCCCCTCAGAGAGGGATACGTACCCTTTAATATAGTGCTACCCAATGTTAACCCAAGCCGGCGGCCAATGGTATCTGGCACACTCTGGAGCTCCCAATCTCTGCCATTTGTATACCTATTGCTAAAGAGAAGTGGCTTATTTTTCTTTAATCTTGAGTTAATTTATCCAATTTATTGACTGAAACCCAGCAGAGTGATACACAAATCAGGTTGTTTTGTTTTTAAAGCTTTTTATTGTGATTTAGAGGATTTACAGAGCAAATAATTAGTTTTACAGTCAATAATTTATATACATTTTGTTTCAACTCATTCATTTTAATCCCTTCAATGTAGTATCACGTAGCCCACTTCCTCCCAGCTTTTCCTATCTCTATTCATCCTTCTATCCTAACCCCCTGTTCTTGGATACATGTTGTCTTTTAAACAAATCTTAAATAGTTGATTATTCTCACATGGGAGGTGAACTCAATTCCAGACCAGAAGGATGACTAAGGGCCCCCCCAGTCTCTATCTGACCAACAAGCCCTGTCTCTTGTGATTTTGAATTCTGATCCACATTTCCCCCTACTCTATCTAGGACCTTCTCATGTGATCCCTTTCCAAGCAACTGGTAGCAGTAGTTGGGTACCATCTAGGTCTTCCAGTCTCAGAGTTATAGAGACTGAGGTGGATGTGCTACATTAGTCCATTGGACTAATTGATCGCATGTCTTTCTATTGTCATCACTTTTCTTTCCTTTGGGCAGGAGGAGACCACTAGATCAGTAGTTGCAGCTTAGATGACTGATCACAAGCTTTTAATATTCCAGTCCTTCCTCATCCAAATAGAACTTGAACTTGGTATTCTCCAAGACTATGACTCCCCAGGCCCAGCAATGTGCCCCCTCAAGGTGTTTGCTTCTGTCTAAGAAGGTTTCATTCACGAGTTTATTTGCAGCATGGATCTGTTTGTCAGCCCTCTAGCTATTCGTGGATATACTCCCACTCCCAGCACAGGTCCATTTTGATGATATGTCCTAGAGAAAAGCTGAAGAAAGGCAGGGGATGGCATGAGGGCAGAGAGAGACGGAGAGAGATGGGGGAGAGATGCTGTTGAGGGCATAGACTCTAACACTCTCTACTTCTGAGTTTATCCTTCAGTCTTGGTTACCTGTGTAGTTCTACCTTAAATGCCACCGATTAGGGACTTTAAAGAACAGAAATGTATCTTTTCACAGTTCTGGAGGTTATAAGATGAACCCACCGTGTTGCCTTGAATGAAGGTATTTCTTTATCTCTTTCAGCTTTCTGGGTTTATAGATCCATCAGCCTTCATCTTCTCATGACACCTTCTCTGTGTTTATTTTCTCTTTTTGTAGGAGATCATTCAGAAAGTATGAGGGTTAGGACCCACCTTATTCTGGTAGAACCTTATTAACATAGCAAAGGAAAAAACCCCTATTCCCAAACTCACAGGGGCAGTTCTACTCTGTCCTATGGGGTTGCTATAAATCAACTCAATGGCGGTGAATGAACTTCCATGAGCATTAATTGTGGATCCAAATAAAATAAGTCCTTTAAAGCAGCCATGGTGGCATAGTGATTACGCAACATCCACAGTTCAAAACCACCAGTCCTCTGGAAGGAGAAAGGCGGGGCCGAAAGGGCTCACCAGCTCAGAAACCCCTAGGGGCAGTTCTGCCCTGCCCTACAGCATCACTGTGAGTTGGCATCACCTCCATGGCAGTGAGCTGAGTCGAGTTTGAGGATTAGAAGTTCCACATATCTTTTTAGAGGGCACCATCCATAACAGACCTCTAACGACGTGCTTGTTTTCTCTCAGTTCCTAGAGACTCTGTCGATCATCAAAGCAGTCCGCAAGTGGAATCCAGCAATGGCAAGGCAGACACTTCAAACAACTCTTCGAAGGAAAATCGGTGAGTCTTATCCATTTGAGTCCCAATGGTTGGTGAAATAAGTGTTTCCATCCCTGTGTTATTTTGGTGAGTTGGAGAGAGTGGAGACAAAAAGTGTTCCCAGGAAGATTCTCCCACATCAAAGGCTGCAATTCTGGGTGCTCTTCTCCAAACCAAGCCTGCTGCCTTTAAGCTGATTCCAACCCCCAAAAACACTGTATCGGTTGTCCAAGGGTCTCCATCATGATAGGAGCAGAGTGGCTCCTCTTTCTCCCTCAGAACAGCTGGAGGATTTGAACCAACAGACCGCACCCCCAGAACACTTTAAGCAACCAAAACAGAATCCTGCTCATTGAATTCTCTTCATTTGGGTTCATTAGGTTAAAGCAATGGTTCTTAGGCATGGGGGATGGGAGGAGGATTGTTTGCAATGTCTGGACATACTTTTGGTTATTACAGCTTTGATTGGGAATGTTTTTTGCTATTGGCATTTACTGGGAAGGGGGTCTAAGAATATGGTTACATAGCCTTCCACAACCAAGAATTGTCCAATCCAAAATGCCAAGAAACACTAACATTGAGACCTTTGATTTAAGCTAAAGAAATCCCATTTCCATTGATTCTAAAGGCAAGTGCATTAACCATTGCTCTGCCAGGACTCCTTAGCTAAAGATCACAAGTTTCAGCTAAATACAGGTATGTATCCTTTAACATCTATGTTACATTCTGTTGTGAAACAGAACTTTATGTGAGGTGGACGTTGTGCGAACACCTGTTAATAAATCTCTCACGGGAGACGATTTCAGTCATCCTGTCTGCTGCTGCTGGAACGGCTGGCAGTCCTCCAAGGAGGGGTGGCAGCCGCCTTGGCTGACTGCGAGATCAGCAGTTCGAAGCCAGCAGTTACTGTGAGCCTGAATTTTCCAAATTATACTAAGGGTCTAACCCATTACTGTTAGTCAATTCTGACTCATAATGACCCTATAGGACAGAGCAGAACTACCCCTGTGGGTTTCTGAGACTGTAACTCTTTATGGGAGTAGAAAGCCTTATCTTTCTCTCGCAAAACTACTGGTGGTTTCTAACTGCTGACCTTGTGGTTAGAAGCCCAATGTGTAACCCACTATGCCATCGGTGCTCTTTATATGGTGACTGTATATTATGTTTTTAAAAAAAACAAACTCGCTATCATCAAGTTGATGTTGACTTGTGGCAATCCTATAGGTCAAGGTAGAACAGCCCCTGAGGGTTTCCAAGACTGTAACTCTTTACGAGAGTAAAAAGCCTCAGCTTTCCCCCACAGAACCACTAGTGTTTTGAACTGCTGACCTTGTGGTTAGCAGCCCAGCATGCACATCTATACCGGGAATAGCAAAGATGTAGAAAAATTGGGACTCTCTTGCATTTGTGGTGGGAATGGAGGAGGGTTCCGCTGCTGTGGAAAGCAGTTTTTCCATTCTTCAAAAGGTTGAACATAGAATTCCCATAGGAGCCAGCACTTATATTCCTGGGTGTATAGCCAAAAGAAGTGAAACTGGTATTCCAACAAACACTCCCACAGAAGTGTTCATAGACTCACTAGGGGAAATGTGGGGGGAAATCCAGCTCTCCAGCAACCAATGCAGATAAACCAAATGTGGTACATCCACGCAGTGGAATGTCTTCACCCATCAAAAGGAATAAGCTGCCGATACAGGAGGGTCATTTAAAAACTAGTGTCCCCAAATCATGGAGCCTTTATTAACTTGAAATGTCCGGGTGTGAAGCTGCTCTTCCTCAGCATGCCTTCCCCCCAGGTGCTCACACTTCTGACAGCTGGCTGTGTTTCCATCTCTCCCATCCTTCTGGGAAGACTTCTGGATGCGCCGATTTACACCGCATAGAAATGGCAGTTCTGCCATCCTCTAGAGACTTAGACCACGCGCCTTTGGAATGTTCTTTGAGTCTGGGAGACAAAAAGAAGCCTGAAGGGGCAAGATCAGGGTGGCTGGAGTAAAATTTGAGCCCCCCATTGCAGCCACTGTGTCAATCCATCTCCTTGAGGAGGGTCCTCTTTTTCACTGGGCAAGCAGAGTGTCTTGTCTAAGGACGGATAAGCATTGGAGACAAAGTTATGCTGTCCTCGCTTCTAAGGATCATTCTGGCGGTCCGTCAGGCAGTCCAGGGTACTCTCAGCGTTCTTTGCTAGCATCAGAATTCAGATGCATCAGTTTTTCTACATTCTTCCTTATTCATCGTACAACTTTTATAAGGTGGTTGACAAGACCGTGATGTGGGTCAGCACGCCTTCCTTAGCCTTCAAAGTGGCCTCCTTGCTCTTCACTTTAAAGAGATGGTGTGCAGCCCCGTTGCCCGGCGCAGTATATCATTTGATTTCTTGACTGTTGTGTCTCTGAGCCTTGACTGTGGATCCAAGCAAGATAAAATCCAGCCTGTGATCCAGTCTCTCCAGTCTGTCAACTGGGCCAGTTGCGAGGCTTTGGGTCTTCATTATTTTTAGTTGTAATCCATAATGGAACCTTTGGGGACAGTTGTACATTGTCCTATAGGGTCGCTATGTGTCCGAATCAACGCCATGGCAGTGGGTTGGGTTTGGGTTTTATGGGATGTGGAGGGAGGTTAGGAGATAACTGCTTACTGTGTATATAGGGTCTCCCTTTGGGGTGATGAAAATGTTCTAGAACTAACTACTGGCAATAGCTACATAACATTAGGAACATGTATTGTATGCTATTAAATTATATACCATAAAACAGGTGAAATGATGAATTTTGCATTATGTGTATTTTACCACAGGAGTCTGCTTATACTTGTACCTTCCAACAAAAGTTCATCTGTGGCTCCTTGGATCTGCCTTTCTCCTCAGACTCTCTCAGGTGGTTGTCCAGTCCTGCCATCTCATTCCCTCACTAAACTCCGCTTTCTGAATCCAGAAATGCTCTCTGTACCCTTACTGTGTCTCTCACACTGGTCTTCAGAAGTTCAGTCCCCGTCACTAGGTCTTCATCGTTGTAACACTTTTCAGCATTTAGTCCCACAGACAGATATACTGCCCTTGAACCACCCCCTCCCATGGGTTCACCCTCACCTCACAGCACCCCCACCTCCCACGGAAATGCAGGCAGTTCCCTAAGACCTGATTCTCTATTACTACTTCTTCTGCTGCTGCTACTTCTGCTTCTACTGCATCTTAAAATATTTCACTGGGGGCTCTTACAGATATTAGCACAGTCCATCGGTCCATTAGATCAGGCGTAGTTGTGCAATTGTTGCCATCATCATTTACAATCCATTTTCTGTTTTCTTGGACTCCTTGATATCAACTTCCTTTTATCCCCTCTCTCCCTTACCCTACCACACCCCTGAACCCTTAATAAATTATATACTATTATTATTGGTTGTTTTTGTTTGTTTGTTTTGCCATAACTTACACCATCCAATGAATCCATTCACCTACAATTCTGATCTTTGTTCCCCTGGAGTGGGGTTATACAGTCATTGTTGCTATCAGTTCTCCCCGCCACCCTCCCTTCCCGTACCCTCAGGAATCATTACTCTCATTATTGTTTCTGTTGGGTTATCTATCTTGGATTTTGTGCATCTGAAGATCTTACCAGTACCAATGTACATACGCAGGTCCAGCAAGATTAGTGAGGTAAAACTAAGGCTGTACTAATGGAAGGAGAAAATTTTAAAGAATTAAAGGATGGTAATGTGCTTCATCATCACTCTACTGCACCCTTCTGTGTATTAACATATATGCATACATAGATAAGTACATCTATCTTTATTTATTTACATGTTTACATATCTCTATATATAATTTTTGCTTCCTTGTTGTTTCCTCTATTTCTTTTTTCTTTCCTCCTACCCCACTATCATCTTCACCCTTTGTTCACCTCTCAGTAATTCCCCTCGGGTACACCTCAATTGAGCAGACATCACCATGGACCCTACACCCTCCTCGTCACTGATTTAAATCCCTTGTTATCCCTGATTTTTTGGTTCACTGCTTTCCTCCCCCATCTCCTCCTCTCCCATGCACCCCCCCAGCTGTCAGTCCCATTACTATCTCCTTGAATGACTCTCTTTTTTCTCCCCCCTCACACCAAGTGATCACATCCATCCTCAGGCATACTCAGGCAGTGATAGGGTTCAAATAATTTAACAGCCAGTTTGATACCCTCATGACCATTTTAAGTATTAAAAAAGATATACTGAGAGGTAGTTTCTTATTTCATACAGTCAGTGCTTAAACAAGAATACAGGAGGTACAGGTTAAAAGAGAGTAAGGAATGTAAATTTGTGATTTCCACACTTGGCAGCTGCCCACCTTGAAGAGAACCTTGATAACAAGAGACATTTTAACAACCGGTTCACCAAACTCAATAACAACAACAAATAGGTATCGTTTTTTGATCCTACATCTCATGTGACCCCACCTCCCATCACTTTCTAAGCATCCTTTCCTGGTCCAAGCCAGCCATTACTTCTTTACACCCTCCATTCTCTCCTCTTTCCAGATTGGCTTTCATTGCTGACTTCTAATCAATGTCCTTAACACTGATTTTGACTGTTCAAAGAACTTTAATGGCTTCCCATTTTAGACTGAAACAGGATCATACCCCACGCTTCTCTCTATGTAGCTTTTTGCTTCCATTTCTCCTCCAGGCTCACCTCCAGCACACCTCTATATATATCTTTGGTTAAATGGAATCAGACTTCTAATTGTTCCATCAATGCATTCACCTCTGTTCTCTTTGCCCATTTCTTTCTGCTCAACTCTCGCCTCTTTCATCAAGACATATTTTCCTATCTATTTCCTCCAGGGAGACTTTCCTGATTCTCGTAAATCCTCCCTGAACCATTCTAGCCTGTTTATAATCAAAACAAGCCAAATGCAGTGTCATCCGATGGATTCCAACTCACAGCATCCTCAGGTGTTCCAGAGGAAAACTGCCCATCATATTTCTTGGCTGTAGTCGTTATGGGCCCCAGCATTCCTTTATTTTGCTGCTCTC